GGTTGACGTTTCTGTGTAGTATGGGGCTAGCCCAACCGAGGGGATATAATGTATAGGCCTGGTGGGTTCAGGGTCTTTCATTTTACATCTGCCTGCGAGCAGTTTGGAGGTGCAAGATACCTGAGCGTGTAATGTTAATTTTACCTGTGATCCTTTGAATAAATCAGCACTGTTTTGAAGTTACTTGAACTGTCTCGTCTCTCAGAGGTAGCAATGGTAAGAAGAACCAGAGTCCTACAGTCCGTTAAAAATTAAAAAGTCACAAAGAAAGTTTAATGCTGCTGGGGTGTGTGTGGGAAACCAACAGGATGTCACCCAGCTCATCTCTCAATACATTCGCAATGGACTTTGTGGCCAGATATTCCAAAAAGGCTGTTACTCTGAACTGCTGTTTGAGACATAGGCAGAGACAACTGCCAGTCTTTCTCCTCATAACATTCAGTCACTTGGCAAGGAGTCAGTTTCCTTAACACTGATGAAGGAACTAGTGAGGAGCCTGTCTTGTTAAATAATGGTGCACATAAAATAAAGTTGTGCAAAAATAAGAAGTTGAGCTTTGAAAAGCTGATCATTTTCCTTCCTTTTGTTGGTAAATATTTATTCACTTAGAGATGGGATATAAACCTGTGCATGTGACCAGAATACGTAATTCAACATGTTTGTTCCCTACCAGGTAAAGGACGTGGTGGGCTATGATACACTAGGCCACTGTTTCTTCACAGAAGATGGTCCTGAAGAGAGGAACACGTTTGACCACTGTCTGGGTCTGATGGTGCGAGCTGGGACCCTGCTGCCGTCAGACAGAGACGGCAAAATGTGTCGTGACATCACCGAGGGAGCTTACCCAGGATATGTGGCCAACCCACGTCAAGACTGCAGGTTAGATACATGCACAAACCACATGCAGTCATCAACTTCATTGATGACTTCTTTAACAGTGACACCACCCATCCATCCATTTTCCTCCGCTTATCTGGGACTGGGTCGCGGGGGCAGCAGTCTAAGCAAAGATGCCCAGACTTCCCTCTCTCCAGACACTTCCTCCAGCTCCTCCGGGGGAATGCTGAGGCGTTCCCAGGCCAGCTGAGAGACATAGTCCCTCCAGCGTGTCCTGGGTCTTTCCTGGGGCTTATTTCTCTGTGTAATATTGTTAAATGTTGAGTCTCTAAAAACGTGCTCTTTATACACTTACTGCTACTTTTGATGGACACATTTCGTGCTATTCAGACAAATTTGCAGCTTGATGCTCTGCTAACTACTATTTGGCCACTTAACTACAGGAAAAAGGATCACACAGTCTTTAAGCATCGAAGACCATCAGTCTATACCTTGTTTCCAGAATACCATTACTACCAGTTCTTAGCTGCAGGTTTCCACCAGCCACAAAACATATACATTCCTCTCTCCTAGCAAAGCCACAAAAACAATTCACCTCCTCATTGACCGATACTCAGTGTGAGTTTAAAAAAGGGTTTGACTCTCCAAGAAACACAGCCAACTTTACCACTGAAGTAGATTTCAATAAATTTTCATTTCCGCAGTCACTTTTCCTGGTCTTGAGAGCGTAATGAATTAGCAAACAAAAGCCTCAAAAGAACTCTCTTCCATTTCTCTTTACTCAATGAATTACCGTCAACCACACAATGAAAACAAGAGATGGCAAGTTTATTTTTCTGTGGTGGAGCTGTTTCAACAGCAAGATTATTCACTGACACCCCATTCAAAACGTCCCTAATCAAAGGTTTCCAGCACCACTGATAGTGTTTGGCTACAGTTGGACCATTACAGTGGGGTGTAATACATCGCCACATTACAATTAAAAACTGGAAGGGTATGTTTTGTGTATGTTGTCCAAGAATATACCAAAGCATCTGCTAAGTATTTGTCCAGTCAAGGATTCAGTGTTGCAAAGACGACTGGCATGCTGTTTAAATGCATCATGTCAAGCCACTAATATATTTATTATTGTCATTTCTTAAATGGTTGAACACAAGCATAATGCTCATTCTGTGATCAAATATGCAATTAAATTACTACAGCAGCAAATGCGATGTGCGTTTCCTGACCTCTGAATTGCTTAATCTCAGATTTTTGTTAGATACTAAGAATTAGCTACAAATTGTAATTCAAGGAAAAATAAAGAAACACAATTTTAAATACAACACTTGAAACAATCAGGGTTACAAAAGTGCGTCACTGTAACAAAAATCCTTAAAAATCAAAGACAAGGATGAATTGGTAGTAAGTAAAACTATTCAGGTCAAGAAAACATCACAAAAAGACCAGAAAGAAAAATTAAGTTGAGGTGAAATTTCAAACACTAGAAATTTGCTGACCTGACCCCTGCATGGAAGGTGTTGCATAACTCTGGGAGCCAGGACAAACAACACAAACACAATTATATAAAAAGAGACAGAAAATAGAGCAAACAAAACAAGTACATATTATGCATAATATGTTTACAGTAACACAGTTTAGTTTTATGTATTTCTGTCAAACATCTGGCCCCAACCATACAGTACGGGATTACAAGACACTGCTATTGTGGTAATACGTATAACTACAAGTAAAAATAGCAAAAAAGTAGCGTTATATCTATGTGCTTTCCAATAACATGTATGTGGAAAGACTAGTCCAAATGACCTGTTCACTGAAAAGAAAAGCAAAAGATAAAAGTTTTTTTTTCCTCTTCTCCCAAACTTACTCCAAGTCACAGGATAATTTAAATGTTTTATATGTAAAAAGCCAACTCAGTCTTCATACACCATCCATACTGTATGTACAAAGTCAACATCTGTTTTATCTTACTAAACTAAGTCCTGAGCAAAACAAACAAACTGAACTCACTGTCTATATCAAAAAGCACAGTAAATGAACGTGCCCAAAACTGGGACAGTCCATAGCTGTTCAATGAAAGCCAAAATTAGAAATGTATCAGTCTATACACAAAGCAAACTTATCATTTGTACTGTGGCTGTTCACAAGTCTAATGGCTTCTGGAATAAAACCAAACTTGTCTCTATTTGTTTTACATGAAGGTAATCTAAAACACATTCCTGATGGCATTAGTTCAAAGTAGTCACAGACGACGTGTGGGGTGGTCGAGGTCTCTTAATGCCTTTTTGAGAACTTGTTTGGCATTAAGCCGTACTAAGGATCTTTTGTGTGCTGGAAATTAGTTTTAGAGTCGAGGTTAACACCACCATGCATGTTGTTGTTGTCTTTTTGACAAAGTGAAGTAAACCAACAAAGTTTCTGTTGATCCACATGATTAACTGCCTAAGCACTGCAACTCTGTATATATGTATGACAGAAGTATGTAGAAAACAGCAGTGTGTGAAAATACATTTGGGTAAGCTGCATTTTGTTACTCTGGCAGACAGACTGATTGCAGAAAATGCTTGTGTGTTTGTGTGTGCTTGTATAACTGTGGGTGTATAGTGTGTGCGTGTGTCTGTCTATAAGTGGACTGTGTGTGGCCAGTCTCATTGGGCTGATCTTGGCCCCTGGCTGTTGCTGGCATGCAGCATGTCTGTAAAGAAACAGCTAGAGGCAAAGCCAACACCGGTGCCGCTCAGGAGCTCGGTGCTGCCAGCAGCGACAGAGTCCAGAACTTTCCATAGTCCCGCGCCACCACGCCAACAGGTCTTGGCACGACACTACTGTCCTGATCTGCACACCTGGCCCACCAAGAGTCCAGAATCACCTCTCCTGTCACTGTGTGATGAACAGGTCATTTACAACCCAAGTGTTTGTGTGTTTTTAAGAGTTATGGGCCCAGGTAAAGAAAACACAGTGGCAGCGGACCTCCTGTGTGTTGCCCTAATCAAACAGAGCTGAGTACCTTAGCACTGTAGAATAGCTGGGCTTGAATTTGACTTGTACTGTGGAAAACCCACACAGAGGGATATTCAAAAAGAAACTGCATTATGGAAACAGAGCAAGATAAAGATTGTTTTTGATAGTGCCACTGAGTTTTGAGGTTTCAGCTTGAACACAGAGAAGCAAGTACCAGACCTGGAGCAAACAAGAATACATAACCTAAGGCAGACAAAGGCAGTCATCACAGGTCATGTGACACATTAACTATCTTTAAAGTGACAAAACACTCCTGAGAAAAAGTTAGGAAAGCTTGCATTTTGCTGTTATGTTTGATTTCTTCATTCGTGTAGGTGAAGAAGACACTTGTCTAATGCTTTGGCCAAGTGGCTCTCTGACAGCATCTGGGATGAAAACTGTCTGAAAGCTCTCAGGGATGCGTGGGCTTGTCCTCCTTGGTAAGTGATCAGGTGTTTGACTGTCTGGTAGGAAGGAAGTCCTTATTAACGTTGAGAAGAAGGCTGAGGCTCAGTAACCTCAGGCATGCCCGCCCACACACACACACACACACGCACGCACA